TGGCAGAGAAGCTATATCAAAATATGGGTTATCTGCAATAAGATCTCAATTCAACTTTATTTCTGTCATGCTTTAACAAAGGTTTCAGTCAATTGGTCTAGACCTTGAACAGAAAACAGCAAGAAAGAGACAATTGTGCTTCAAAGAACATACAGACTACTTAAAAGGGAGCAAAGAGAGGAACACATCTCACAATTTCATCCACCTACAAGTTAGGAGCACAGCATGAGACAATTGGCTGAGGTCCCCCCTAAAGTCGATGGAGAGATACAGAAAACTCCACTGTGTTCAATTCCACCCTCATATGTGGTGTGAACAAGGCCTGGCCAAGGAGGAGAGTTGCCCGGCCGTATGCCCTGTCCTGTGTGCCTCATTGGGATGCTCCTGGTCCTGGGCCAAGCTGCCAACCTCTCAGAACTTTCACTGGGGCAGCTTCCCCAGGACACTGCTTTACATACGGTCCTGTGTAGGGCTAAATATCCAGAAGTGCTCTGGTTCTACCTGGTTTCCCCGGGTGAGGATTTACAGCCTTTATCATACACAGTGGTCCTTCTGATATTAACTCCATGGTTACAGCATCACAGTCAGAACTAGGGCTATCAACCACACAGAAAAAAAAAGTAAAATCTTTAATCCAGTTGTCCCATCATATGAGAGACTGTAAGCAAAAATAGGAAAGAAGTCCCAAAATAATTGTCAATTTAGCTCCTACATACAACAGGAGGCTATCTTTTGTGACGATAGTAAAAGCAATCAGCTCTTGATGGACTCATTTATAATGATTATTACACCCTTGTTTGTCTCTGATAGCATACGTGATATTCAGGGGACTGATATAATAATTCAAGGGGATGGATATAATCTTTCTCTTTGCTAAGCATCACACTGTTCCTCTCAGAGCAAACAGCTTAATTAAGATTGCAAAAGAAAGCCAGTGATATGCATGTAAACAGAAATATAAAATCACCCATTTCCCCTGCAGGCTGAAGAATCATGGTGAGGTTAGTGGGTGACCACAGCAGGGAGGAAAGCATGTATGACAGGAGACAAGGTCTTTGCATCCTCTCATCTCACCTATAATAAAGGCTGAAGGTGTGAGAACATGTGCATGCCCAGTGCCACTTGGAACAGGTGAAACAGATCTGGCTCTCAAGTGAGTGCCTGCCTCCTGTAAGCCTGTAAACAGCCCTAGGAGGTTAAACAACTTCTGGTTCTTTTATGAGTGTCAACTTGGCAGTATGTTAAGCATATTAAACTGTTCTAAATAGTTAAGCACTTAAGCCACCCTACACCACAGCAAGAATTTCTTGTGCATGAGCACTTTTGGATACACTCATGGTTTCATCACTGTTTTTCTTCTACTCTTCAGGGGAAAAAAAAAGAAAAAGATGCCCCTCCTCAAAGAAATGGGCCCTTTCTCCCACAGATTCATTTCCTGCTTCATGGTAGTGTCTCTGATTTCAATGTTATGATCACTGAGAAGTACAGAGTGAAAGATTTCAGGTCTAGTGATTACCATCTTCACAACATAAACTAGAAGAATATATACAATTGCTAAATTAACATTTTTATATGTTAACATATAAACATATGTCAACACGAAGAAGGGAACTGTGGTTGACTCTAAACTGTGCCCTCCAGAACACCCACTATATGTTAAGAAAAAAAAAATTCATAAAAAATATATAGTCTTACAATATCCTGCCACAAAGAAATATTAATCTGATATGCAATCACAGCCATCCTAAAATCTTTCTTTAACCTACCTTATCAAATGTTTCCATGAAGAAAAGAAAATCCAGTCTGTCCCAAGTATCCAACTGGTTCCCCACATTGCTGGGCAGGAGCAGGAAGGGGAGGCGGGCAATCCTGCACAGGCAGTCTCCGCAGCACACATCTTGGTAGCCATTCCTCTTCCCAGTCTCACATGCTATGGACACTTAACTTGAAAACAGAGAAACATATGCACTTTTTGGTATCCATGGCTTTTTTCCCCATAGACACATACATGCTCACGAACCTATTGCTGAGGTTCTGATCACAGGAGACTATCTCACAAGCATCATTTAACTAATATTTAGCTACCATATATATAAATAAATAATAATATAAAGGGACTGTCATTGGCTCCATTTTATTCTACAGATGTTACTGTTTCGACTCCTCTCTTTTCTGTCTTCAATACAAAGTGTTTTCACTAGACCTTAAAACACCTCTTAAAGGAATAGTATGTTTCAGTATGAACATGCAGTGACTAAACCTGATCCAGCCTTTGTCTATACCAACAGGTAAGTTCTACTATGGAACTCCTGAAAAGTTAAAAGCACATTATGTGCTTCTCTAGTGCCAGCAGGACATTCACCAGCACAGATAAGGATACCCAGAGATGTATTCTGATATATATTCTCTATATTCCATTATGTTCTCTGCTTTCCTCTGAGTTCTGGGTTCATTCACAATATGTCAGTCTCAGAAGGCTCACTATCTTTTAATTTTCATTCATTTTATTATTCTTTTCATCAACATCATTCCTTCATTCTTGATTTTCACCTGTGCAAAGCATATCATGAACAAACACAGATAAATTTTTTTCCAATAAAAACTTACAAATGTCTCTAATGTGCTAGCAGATGGTCATATTTTTACAGATGGGTTTGTTGTTGAAGAATTTGAGGCAATTATTGACTGAAAAACTTGTATTTGTATCCCACAGGAACCATGAGTTATTAATGACTACATCTGCAAGGAACAGAATAAGTAAAGACACACCTAGGGTGAGAGGTTTGTGGTGGGTTAACCTATGCTAACAGCCAAACTCCCACCCAGCCACTCATTCACTGCAGGACAGGGAGAGAAAATAGGAGTAACAGAAATGAGAAAGCTCATGGGTCAAGAAAAAAACAGGGGGATCACTTACCAATTACCATCATAGACAAAACAGACTCAACGTGGGGAAAATTAACATATTGCCAATTAAAATAAATAATTTCAGGTAGTGGGAAACAAGAAGACAAACACTAACACATCACCTTTCCTTCCCCCTCTCCCAGGCTCTGCTTCACTCCTGACTCCTCTACCTACCCTGAGCACTGCCAGGGGAATGGGGGCTGTGGTCAGTCCATGGCAGCTCCTCTCTGCCACTCCTTCCTCCTCACACTCTCCAGTACAGTCTCATTCCTTTGATTTATCCCATCCTTCAGCCTCTTCAACACCCTGTTACTACTTGTTGTATTTAAACATTGTTAGCTGTATCTCTTGACTTTTAACCTCATCAAATATCCTCAGTACGCTACCATATTTAGCCATACACATGGGAGTGATCTTTCTCCCTCATCAGAAGTCACCAATGAACCCTGAGAAATAAACCTTTCTTGAGAAAATGTTGTCAAAATAACGTATCTCCCAAAGATTTTCAGTTTTGGTAAAGCAGCATTTTAACATCTCTATTAAAACTGTGTAATAATATGATCAGTCTATTATCCCCTTTACATGGAGTGAACACAGAGCAGTGAAAAACTTGCCCAATATCACACAGGAAACCTGTGAAAGAGCATAGATTTGAAATGCAAAAATAGGATCAGCCACAGTTACTGTCAGCCATCCTTTCATAATTTTAGTTTAGCCTGGAGATGTGGCTCCTGTCAGGGGAGTCCACAACTACTTTGATGGTGGTTGAATGTAAACCATAGCATGTGTGTAGCATACAAAGTTCTGAGCCACCATTCTTGCCAGTGAGACAAATCTGAACAAGTGCTCTGTACCTGGACCTTCAAGCCCAGATGAGAGGCAGGTGATGTGCTTTCACCATTAACAACAAAAAATATCTGTTTCAAAGAGTTTACAAGTTATGGTGACAAAAGGGCCATGAAAACTTGGAGTGCTCAACTGTTCACGCTATTTTTGCTTTACCCATTGGCAGTTTCTCAGCTGTACCTTACTATTTTGCTAATTACTGTGCAATCCTGACCTCTCAAGGTCAGGGGCTTCCTGCACTGCTCCAGCCCTTTCTTGAGTAAGACTTTGTTTGCCCAGGAGCTGAGTGAACAGCATGTTTTGGACTGGCAATGTGAGTCCCTCAGGCAAACCCGATGTATCATGCTCTCTCCTTGTCGGGAGCACTGCAGATGGGCTCCTGTTGTGGAGAACAGTCTTTGCATGGAACGGTTTCACAGTGGGTTTGGACGAAGCAAGAATAATCCTTACTAAGAAGTTCATGTAGCCACCGTTATACTTGAAGATGCCAAATCTGTGCATCTGGAGAAGGTACTTTAGTTTTTGTTTCTCACCACCCAAATATATTTTAATTGGCAGTAAATGAAATTAATATTCCCCAAATCAAGTCCGTTTTTCCCAGGATGGCAACTGGTAAGCAATCTCCCTGTCTTTATCTTGACCAAACATTTCCATTTTATTTTCATCCTGTGTACTGTTGAGGAGGAGTAAGAGTGTCTGGGTGGGCATCTGGCAGTTTGCCAGGTCAATCCACCATAGAGACAAAACATCTATTTAACAAAAAAGTACAGTTTAGCTACAAATCTAGTTACCAAGGATAACCTAGCTATAATGTCCATGTTTACCACTCTGCACAGGTATCTTTGTGGATCTAAGCACAAATACTTAATCAGTCAGTAAGTTAAAGTGATCACTAACTTTGATAACAAAATATCAGAGCCCCATATACAACTGTACCTACGGCTTTTAGTCATTCTCTGTGATGGTATGTATAGAAGCACAATGGGCTAGGATATACACTTTGCTCTCCATTGTCCTCATGTCATTCCCACACTTCTAATTGTCTTCATCTAGCTTTCAGGTTACCATGAAGTAAAATTTCTGGGATATTGGAAAACTATCCATGAAAAAACTCTGGTGCAAGCCTGTCACACAACATTCCCTTTGCTGCAGAGCAGGTGTGAGCAGTTGGCTGGGACTGCTGCTGAACTAGGGTAATTATACCCTGTCTACCAACCTGACTTGCTCACATCTTCAACTGGATACGCTACTGAGGCATGACGGCAGGTCATGTCATTGGTCATGTGTGCTGCTTTCTTTCCTAGATACAGATGCATTGCAAAGACATGGATGAAGTGATCAACTTTTGAACCGTTTTTGCTCCTCAGATTTGCCAGAACTACCTAAAGGTAAGAGCTTTCAAATTACTTGGGATTAACACTATGTTTTACTCCTTAGGAAACAGGGAAAGGGAGGTGGCAAGGACTAAGACAGAGAGCTCAAGGAGTATGACAGCTGTGGCTCTTGCTTGTTAATTCATTACGATTAAGTTGTCAGGCTTTCAAAATCTGCAAGCTCTCTCATGTTTCTAAAATCTGGAGGCAAAGACTTTTCTCAAGATATTTTAGCTTTCTTCTAGAACAGATCAGAGGTGGAAAATGGGAAAACAAGCTTTCTGATAAGGTGAAGATGAGAGCAGTAACAAGAATGGGAAGTCAAACAAATTACCATAGGAAAGGTTTAGCTCATGCATAAAAGCAGGGCACACACCTGCTTTCTTCAAATGAATGTTTGACTAACGTAACAACTTTGTTAAGAGTTGCTAAACCAGGTCCAGATGCTACATGACACATTACTTCTATCAGTTTTCAACTGAAGGACAGGTTGTGGACATTATTTTTACATGGGTATAAAATGAAATGCTGGCTACCCATGATTCAGTGCTGTCAGTAAGGGAATGTTAATCCATAAAAGAATCAAATGAAAAGATGGCAAACATCAAATATTAAGGTAACAAGGAAGTGCTGGAAACAGTTGCGTAAGACTGCCCTCAATTCTGACAGCTAGCAGGAACATGAAAGACAAAATTATGTCAATAGAAGACAAAGGCTGAGTCTAAACTCAGTACTTCCTATCTTCTGATGTTTGCTCAAATTTTAAGACAAGGCATAGCCAAACATAGACCTTATCACTGCAGAATGGTTGCAGTGTCCCAAGACTAATTAATTTGCTCATGGTCACTGCTGCAGAACAGGAAGTGAGCCCAGCTTTTTTTCCACCCCCAGTCCAAATTAATGCACGAACCACTGGACAATACTTCCTTTTAGTGGTTAGTACTCTATTTTTTGAATGATAATTAGGGAGGGACAAGTTCTTATGCAATCACAGGGCTCAGTTGTGCTCATCCTTCAGAATAAGGGCCCTTTAAATGTGAGCAAAGTCAGTCATCTGAAGGAAGCAAGGGATTATACCTCAAACAGTAAATTAAGGAACAATATTTAAGAGATACATCTGGTTTACATCAAAGGTTAATGCTGAAATCTGTGATGGAACTTATTCAGTATTTTAATTAATAACCTTGACAGAAATATAGGAGTGGTTAATAAAATGTATGAATGAAGAAACAAATTATGGAAGCAGAAAATCTATTACACAGAATGAGAAAACCTAGGGAACTGCTGTGACAGAATTTATATGTATTATAATGCTACAAAGCAGTCCATTTAGAAAATTATACCACGAATTTCAGGTACAAGCTGGGAGTTCGCTAGTACAAAATGACATTGGAAGATAAAGACCTGCTGCTGGTTAATGACAGCATAAATACAAACTATCAGCACGATATGGCTGTGGAAAAGGAAAAAAGTGCTACTGGATTATTCTAAAGACAGCATTTCCATTAAATATAAGATTACATTCATACCATTATAGAGGCTGAGGACAGAGCTCATTGGTCACTGATGGCCAAGAAGGATGAATTCACTGTACAGAAATGAGAAGGACTCAGCAACATTGCTTAGCCCTGTGAATGAAAGGCTGCAAAGAGACAGGAATGTTCTCTGGGCTGGCTTGAGAGGAGAAGGCTTTTCTATAAAAGCATGATGCTAGCACCATAACAAACAGGAATAAACTACCAGGAATAATTTCAGGCTAGAAGGTTTGTGAAAGTTTACAGTCTTTTTAACTGCTTTAGAGGTGAGAGCAACAGGAGCGGTAAATGCACTAAATTATAGACCTGAGCTCCCTTCATGAAGGAATAATCTAATATAAATGTCTGACCTGAGACAGGACTGGAAAATCCAGGGAGTCCCTGCTTATCCAGCAGCCTGTGAGTCCACATAGGCAGGGCTAGGCTGCCTGCTGCCTGCACAAGCCCAGTAACCAGGCGACCAGCCCTCTGGGCACACATCACAGCAAACAAACACTGGGTTGCACTTTTAAAAACAAACAAAAAACAGCCCCCACCCCCCAAACCTTCCAAGTCTCTTTGTGTCTGTCCCACCATTTACAAAACCATCAAGGAGAAAAGGTTTTCTCCAGAATGGAAAAATTTGCAAAGAGTTTTCTCCTTCTCAGTAGAGCTCAATTCACCAACATTTCACTCTTCAGTGTATGCTTCCTCCTGATTTTGTGAACAATGGTTATGCTCATTTTACTCTAAACTTCCACGTAAGCCATGGGGACTTGGAATACACATAAGTATCTCTCTCTCCATGTGAGAGGAGAAGCAGTATCTACACAGTGACTTTCTGGGTTCTGTCCAGCTCCCTGGCTCAATGACAAAAACATCTTGATGACTTCAGCACATGAACAACCGACTTCTCCCAGTGTCTACTTCAAGCAGTGACCTTACATATTGGCTAGTGAGTCAATGCAGTCAACAGATAAGCCAAGGGAACCAGGTGAAGAGTTTGCAAGAAGTACAGTTCATGTTTGGTTGAATCCCCCATAGCTATATTTTCTTGAGAAAGGAAGCTGGTAGCCTGATACAGGTTTAAAAGCCAGAGTAACTGTAGGATTAAAAATTAAATTCATGAGTAAAAAACAGGGAATCGGCAGAGCACCCTTCATCTCATTGAAAAGGCTGTCTACTTCAGACATCCTGGATATGTTTCAATGTCCAACTTTTAATTTTCTGCCAGCAGTCATCTCCTTTATTTTCTATTTTAAGGATAAACAAATACCTGAATGTTGCTCCCCAACTCTTTGTTTATCTGTATTAGAGCTGGAACTATTTCTTCCCAAACATCTGAAAAGCCTCAACATATTGTGAATATTACCATAAATCACCAACTCAAGGCTAAAGGGAAAAGATCTCTCCAGTGAGGAATTCAGTGTTTCATTGCTAGCCAAAAACTAGAATTAACTGCTTCAATAAAGGAAAACAGAGGTACTTGATACTGTTCAAGCCACAGATGTAATTGCATGCCAGCAATGGCATTTTACAGTCACTCTTTAAAACAGCAGAAATCGAACTGGTCTTATGAACACAGCTGGAAGGGCTAAATGCCCAAGAAAACATTAAACTAGTGATGACAGGAGAACAAGAACACATTACAGCAAACTGAAAGCCTTTGGACCAGTGTTCTACAAGACAACAGATCACTGGTAAAAACTGCTATATCACCACATGTCCATGATATCTGAAGATCACTTACTATAGAGTTTCAAAGTTAATCTTCCAAAATACAAAACTTTTGAAGGTATTGCCCTACCTTCTTCAAATACTTGAATCACTTAATGTTTCCTCCCAAATTGCACATTCTCTTTTTTCCATCTCTGAACCTGCCCTGACTGAATTCAATGGCAAATCCCACACTGACCATCAGCTGGAGCTGGAATGGAGATTAAACACTTTTCTTATAAAGTCACTGCTTCCTGTCATGCCTAAGATTCTGGATGCTATCCTGGTACATGATGTGATAGCCAAATATGATAACATCCTGCCATATGACATAATACTGATCCAGCCCTTATTGCCAGCTGTAGCACAGACAGGGCACAGAGACAGCCCTTTGCAACGTTAGTACCTCTCTCATATATCCAAGTTGTCCCTACATTTTCTCCTCTGCTCCCAGAAGTGCTAGGTACTTTGTGTTGTTACGCTCATGTCTCGGTCCTGGGAGCAGCTCTACTGCTTCAAGTGGAATAGAGACAGGCCAGTGATAAGCACTTCTGAAAACTTTTTAGAAACTTCATTTGGAGTCTGCAGTACGAGATCAACAATTAACCTTCTTGCTAAGACAAGCCTTGGTTAAGTTAAAAAAAAAAGGTAAAAATTCATAAATCTTGATCAGTTTTTACAGATGTACTGCATCATTTTTTTAACTAGATCAATCTAGTTCTGAGGAGGAACTGCAACAAAACAGAATACTGAGGTAAGGGAAATGTTACCTGGACTCTGATAAAAATGCATCTGCCAAATCCTATCTGCCTCCTCTTCTTTTCACACTATAATTTCTGAATCTGAATGGAGAAGAATTAGTACTGCAGTAAACTTCAATTTTCAAATGAAATCATAAATACTTCATTGGCACAGGCTTATAAGACTAAAGCAAAGACGCATCAGCATTCAAGTAATGAGATTTCTGAAATGACTGTTGAGTAGCTCCTAGTTCATGTTCTGCTGAGCTATACTTAGGCCAAAACAGACATGAACCTCATGGGACTCTCCAGGCTCATGAATGCTTCCATTTCAAATACTACAATGTTGTCTTTGAAGAAGTGTTTGTAGGAAAAGCGTATTTCCAACAGACTTGAAATCGAACTGGAAAAAGTATATCTGAAAGGTCAAAACCAATTTGCATAGTCAGGACTGTCTCTCTGCCCACCACTGCAAACATGCAGAACCCAAAAAACCTTTTTGAAAAATACCACGAAGAGGGGATGAAAGTCACTGTTCTCTTTGCAACTATTTGAACCATACATGGCAGGTCAAATGACAACTCTCTCAGGATCCCTGGAAAGATTGTCTTCCGTGTGTCTCAGTTTCCCCTTTACAAAGCTCAAATGACAGTGCCTGTGCCTCTTTGAAGGCACATGTCGAACTGTTCTCATCTGTGGGATTATTTAGCCATCAGGGATGCTCGGGAGGAAATGTGCAGAGGTGCACGTGAGAGCTGGAGAGTGGGGCCCTGCTGTGGAATTTTACAGTTCAGCAGCTTTGCTTGGCTCAATGACAACTGCTCTTCACACCAGAACACAAGTGCCTGGAGCAAACCCAGAGGAAGATGATGGAAACTGCCACTGCCCATTCTCCCCTAGGATATGTCCTTCCTGGAACATAAAGGCTTTGTCATTTCCACCTTCCTTTCCCTGAACTGGCTCTTTGTGTATATGCCCCAGGGTGTGATTTGCCTTTTTTTTTAATACTAATTTCCACAGGACTTATCGAGCTTTATTTTCCAGTACAAACCAATTATACCCATACATAAAAGAGACGAAGCCTTCAGAGGAGAGAAGGCACAGACTTGTTTCAGTGTCCCTGGGACTATACATTTCTGCCTGCAAATCAAGCAATTTGCAGTTGCTTGAGTCAATCTTGAGTGCTTCAGGTAAGCCAAGCCCCAACTAACTGCAGGAGTGCACAAGGGTCTGCTCTACCCTCACAGAGAGCTCCATTTGCTCAGGGCCTCCTAGATGTTACTGGTTTCTGGAGGAAAGTTTATTTGCCTACTCTTCAGGAACTGCTGCTTGATATTTGTCCTTATGACTTTTTCCTACAGAGCTACTAACAGTGTCTGTTCTCTCCCACACGTTCCTCTCCAGCAGACAATTACATCTGAGAAAGGAAAGGAAAGTCTCTAGCTCTAATCTATAGCAATTAACACTTACAGGTTTGGGGGTCACAGCCCCAAAGATCTCTCAGGCATCACAGGCATGGTTACAACCAAGAGCAGAGAGTAACCACATATATGCCAAATTAAAGGATCAATTGATTTGCAGAAAACACCCTGGAGAATGCACTTCCTGGACCTCTGGACTTGAAGCATTCAGACTCAAAGGGTACCTAACACCCTGGTACTTTCTCCCAGGTAGGCTGAAGAAGCTCCTGCAGAAGCTGAGGCCCAGCTGCCCATCCAGTTCCTCCAGCTCATCTGCTCTGGGGTAGGCCCTCCATCACAACACACAGAGCTACTGGCAGCACTATTAGAAGCACATATCAAGACACTGAAATCAAGTAAATTCAGGGCACCAACTTTTTCAACATCTTATGGCCCACAGCTGCTGTTCTTGACAGCTCTAGTAGATCAAACACAAACCTGTCCAGTGGGACTCCCACACTATTTCTGGCTCTGCTGCTGATTCAATTCTGCAACTCTTGTCCTATACATTTAACTGGTGATATTACACTAATACCTCACTGGGTGGAGCAAGGATTAGTAGGTGATTGCTTGCATTCAGCTATTAACTTGCAACGCTCTCACTATGTTAACCATTATTATTCCCTCCTACTCCATGCCTCATGACAGGTCTTTTGCCAGGGCCTACAGTCACTGGATGAAATTCAAAAGCCCTTTCCTCTTTTTCCTATTTTACAGCGAGTAAGATGAATTCAGCAGAAGTGTCACCCTAACTGACACCACCCAGTATTTAGTGTATGATATTTAAGTACCAAGATAGCAATAACCCAAAAATTTGAAAAGACACCCTGTAATTTTGTTCACTGATCCTTGTCCCAAGGAAAAAGCCCTTGTCCAACACTGGCTAATGCAATATTGTCTATCATCATGCTCCTGAACCCACAGTTACTACTGACAAACTGTCTCTCTTATCTGTAGAGCATTACTCTCCCTTGGCAGTCAGCTGCATCTTACCCACATTCTCTTGATTCTCAGCTTTTCTTTTTTCTTCTCAGTGGGATCTTCATGAAGCTTCAACAATGGCCTATTAATACTTCAGTCATCCCCAATCACCTGTTTTAGCTTCTTCATAACAAGTATAGCAAGATGCACCTTTCCCCATCCCTCCTCTCCAATCCATATATTAGCAATTTGCTCCAGCATCTTTGGCCTTATCATAGCCAATGCTGTATTTGTGATTTTTCATCCACACCATCCTACATATTCCCTTTACTATTCATTCTGCTACCATTTTCCATATCACTTCCCATTCATCCAGATTTGTGAAAATTACACCACTTCTTCCCTAGTGAATATTTTCAAATTCCTCCTTTTCTTCTTCCCTAAAAGGTCTGATGCTTTATCTCAGTACTACTAATCACCTCTCTTTTGGCATCCCCCATACATACTGCCCCCCAACACACCTTGAAGACAGATCTGTTGAGAGCATCTTGCCTTGTTCAGCAATTTCTATCCTACTCCAGTTTGACCTCACATGTTTAGGCAGCTTGTGCCGACTTGCCAAACATTACATTCCTCAGTCTCTATTTACTTATCCAAGCGTCTCTTAACAATATAACCCCTCACTTTTGCATCACCCGCGTGTAGGCGAGACAAGCACAGTCCTGACCCAAACCAGAGAAGGTGTCTGCACAGCGACACATGACATTTAGCTAGAATGCAAGGAGCTATGTGGAGTTATCTGAGCAGCCAGTGAGCCTGCACCAGACAAATTTAGCAACCCTTCATGAACATCTTTGCTCCTTTCTCTCCCTAGACTGACCTTCCTTGATGACCTGTGTGAAAGGCTATACCTTTCTTCTGCAAAGGACTCCTACAGTTAACGTTAGGAGGAAATCAACCAGTTAATACTAGTTCAAGGGACAGCTAGGAATAATTAACACCATTCCATTTAGAGTAATACACACATCTCCAGCTGTGTCCTCTTCCTCCCACTCTCCTTTATAGTGAGGAACAGTTCCTGCTAACACCTGCAAAACACCCATATTTTGTGACATGATCTTGTTCAGAGCCTGAGGCAGCACAGTCATATTTAATAATGATCTTGCCCAGCAAAAGCATGTCACACCAGTGATGAGATGATAGTTTCACAGGACAAAACTGGTCACAGTAATGGTGATGATAAGGTTGCACAATAACCCAATGAAAGATCCAAATTGCCACAGGTGCCCTGTTGCAGGCTCTGACTTAATGACACATGAAGGTTTTTCACAGGTGCTCCAAAGTGTGCTCTTCCCCTCCTCAATTATTTTGACAATCCATAGAAAAAAAAAATAGGTTAACTTTTCTGCAAAGGTAACACTTTCAGTCACGATTTTACACACTTTGAATAGTGTTTTCTGAGGGGATATTTTTAGCTTTCCAGCACAAAGAAATATGTAAAGATGATATTTTCTGCTCTCCTTTCCCATCTTCCTCATCATGAAGTGTAACAGGAACTGACTGCACTTCAGTATATAAAAAAGCCAGAATACGAGAACTGCTAATTTTCCTCTAAGTAAAATCTGAGTGTGAGAACTAGGAATTACAAAAGCAGGCACTGACAAACACAGGGCAGTGAAAGTCACTTACAGTAGATTTTATTTTGCACTACTTTTGGCAGGTAAACTGCAGAGATGTCTAGTGAGAAGGGACATGTGGAAATTCCTATGATTATGTATGAACCGCACCATGAACCCTACATGCAAGAACCCTCTGCACCTGAGTACTGCAGCCAAGTGGGTAAGCAGGCTTCACTGGGAGGGTTTTGGAAAGAGCACCCTCTTGGTGGTTGGGTGGCAAACAGTGGTTGGTTTCCAGAGTGTAGCTGAGACAGATCATAAGGGGCCAAGCTTTGCCAGGACATGATGGGTTTAGAAAGCGCCTGTGCCGGCATATAAATCCCAGGGTTGGGGTAGAGAATTCTCCTAACAGAAACATCACTTAAGATGGCAAAAAATATTTTTGTTCATTTAGTTAATAATTTTTCAAACAACACATGCTTTATTGGAAAAGGAATTGCAGATGTATCTCTACAATAATTCCATATTCCTAATGAGCAAATGTTCAGCCAGCAAACTTTGTACATGGACAAGCTATCTCTTGCTTAAACTACAATCTAGTTTTCCAGAGGACTGGCCTTTTCCCAAACACTCCTGCTGCCCAGAGCTGTCCTCCTCCCTGGATGAATCAGTTCTGCAGCCAGGTTCCACAGGGATGAACAAGCCCTATCCATTGCTGTCTCATGGGGAAACATCATGACTGAGAAGCTGGCAATTCAGCTCAGTGACTGCAAGTGACTGCAAGTGGGCATCAACAGCTGCTACTCTGCTGGGTTGGCTTTTTCTCTCTGAAACTAGGCACTTCCCTCACACCTACACAAGTATCTCACAACACTCCTTTGTCTTCTGCCTGTTCGAGCCCACGCTCATTGAAAGACACACCGAGATATCACTGATTTTACCTTTGTTATCTTCCTGCTATTGAGGAAATTGTCATTCAGACAGGGCTGGAGCAGAAACCAGAATGGGAGGTCAGAAGGTGATTAATAAGGTGAGATGTACCAGTACTGGCCGTCTAAACTTGACTCATTTTCAGAGCATTTTACTCTGATCAGCTCTCTACGTAAATATTTTTGTCTTCACAGACCTCTCTAGCCTCTTTCTAAACTTGAAAGAGGTTGCAAGAGGTTGGAGAGAAACAGTCTCACTTATGGGCTGCTCAACCAAGGGATTCAACACATCTAACACCAAGTTGCAGGGTCTTGTCCTTGCACAGGAAACCGGACCTTCACAAAAATGAACTGAGTGATAACTCACTTCATTAAGCACATTCCTCTTCTAGATCAGAAGAAAATTATTTACTTTTTATCTTTTTACAAACTTGGTTTTCTACAAATAACTCTGCCTCCCTTCCCGCCCCCCCCAAAAAAAAGAAAACCCAAAAAGTAAACACACTACCACCACCACATGCCATTGCAAATCTCTCTCACTTCTAGCAAGCCATTCAAAGAAACACTACTAACACTGTTTAAACTTTGCCATTGTATTTTGTCTCACCACGGAAAATTCCAAGTTTGTATCCCATTTTGTACCCCTGTGGGTTTATACCCTATTTGGACTCACATTGTTTCAAAAAGGCTCAACGACGCAGGCTGGATTCCCAGGTCAGGCTGCTCTGCTTGAGGGCGAGGGCTTCTCTGACGCTGTGTGGGCTTGACCAAACAAGACTTCTTATAGGGACTGTCCTGCTATAGACCAGTCTGGTACTTTGATATCACATCCATGCTAGCTGGGCTGTAAGGTTTTATACATTAATTTATTTTGAATGTATTCATGGGTGTATTTTTTAGTACATTCATTTATTTCAAGCTCAGGTAGGCTGACTGCATTCTTAATTTGTAATATTTGTAAAAGAACTAAAAAAGCATGAGGCGTCTTAGTCACCAGCTCCCCTTTTCCCTTATCCACAACAAAAGGAAAAAGTTCTTTAACTTTTTTCTAGAACAAAGTGTATGATTAAATTACCTGAATGGAAGCTGAGGGCAGAAAAAATTCAGATTAGAAAGAAGGCTCTAAATACTAACAGTAAGGAGAGTAATCACTGAAACTAGTTAGAAGTGCTGTGGATCCTTTATCAATGAAGTCCTTAAATTAAGACCAAGTCTTATTCCAGTGTTATGCTGGGATAGATGCAGTTATTGCTTTTGTGGTGAAAAAAGGATTTGGTTTCTTGGCTTACACTGTATAGAAAGCAAGACTAACTAGTCACTCTGGGCTCTTCTGGCTTTAAAAACCCATGAATCAATTCAGTAGTATTTTTTCCCTGTCTTGTACTTCACTGAGCCGTGTCAGGCCTCCCCTGTGAGGCACCTCCCCATGCAGCTTCTCATCAGACTCCAAGCGGGGCTTTCAGGAGGCATAATCTGTATGCATTTTTACCTTTTGCCCTGTTTTTTCTTTGCATAGGGGGTTATGAGTATCCTTCCCCCCCACCTTATTCCTGTCGAGAAACAGCCACAATTGAGCAACCAGGTAAGTGCCAGGGGACTGTGTTTCTGACAATATTTGTGGTTCTATGTGCTAACAAAAGTGAAATGTTTTTAGTTTTAAAATCAACAGAGAAGATGGAATTTTCTGACCCAACCACAATCTAAGAGGCTGGAAAATTTCCCTAGAAATGCTGAAAGATAAACTAAGGTGAAAGACTCAGACTCTTTTTTCCAGTATTAGCTAATCTAGAGAAGGACCCATTTTTTAAAACCAGCTAGGAGCTACAAATTTCAGAACAAATAATTTTAAATCTACTGTATTTTGTTGTTCCTGTTCTGGTCACCTTTATGGAAGTGGAGGAGCTCAAAGAACAGTCAAATAACATCTCTTACAGGAGGGAAAGAGACACAATTTTTAAAGATCCCTAAGACGGGAAGGCAATCAAACTCAGATATGTGATATCCTATCTATTTAACAGACAGGACCTTCCCACTCCTGAAGTTTTGCTTCAGGCTACAGTGTGAATGTACCCTAAACTAGTTTTAGGATGCTTAAAATTGTATTTTTTAAACAGTTCTGAAAAAATACCCTTCCTGTACTTACAAGGGGCATGATGCTCAAGGAGTATGACAGAATCAGGTACAGACTGAAAAAACACAAGGGAAGCTACAGACTTTACTAACTGGGGGCAGCTCCAGCATCTGACTGATGACATTTGTATGTTAACTGCTTTGATGAATTTCTTGTAACTACTGAAAAGTTGATCCAGAAAGCTCCTCTATATCCTTCAAATCTCTTTTTCAGGGAGGACATGCATTTTCACGTCATTTTAAATATCAGGAGATAAATTCTCAATGTCTGAGTATGTCTGCCAGTGGGTGGTGGAGACTGCCTGACCATGGGGATTATCCCATCGGCAATTCCCTGTATATGTCCTTATCCAAGTAAATACTGGCTGCTGATAGCAGCTACATATAGGGATGCACAGAACAAGCAGTACAGTGGTTTGTACTAATATACATGAAATCAGAAATAGTAATGTAGATTAGCCATGTTAAGAACCCACATTCTCCAATTAAGATTTGATAACTTGCAAAAGATTTCCTGTGCTTCTAATCTTGCTGCTTCTCATTTCCTCTTGAACTCAGTTTACATGGTGTCTCAGCCTCCGATCATCGTAGCAGGAATCTTCTCAAGCAAGCCAACATCCACAATATGCCCTTCCTGCCGCCAGCACATCACCACGCAGGTCACCTACAGACTGGGCAGACTGTCTTACCTTCTGTGCACCACCTTGTGTATGGTTGGGTAAGCTTTTATGTATACTTGGAAGATTCTTCATAGCAGAAGGTTAAAAAATAAAAGTTCTAGCTACTGCTTGTATAGACAGTTTGCCCTTCTCTACTTGGTAAAAAAGTCATTCCGTCATCGTGGCTACAGAGGATGCAAACTTACTAAATTTAACCATATTATTACTTTCCATAAGACAGGCAAGAATTAGTACAACATTGCCTACTTCCCTACTGTAAATTAGAATCAGACTAATGCATAAGATGATAGCAGTGAAAACAATTAATTTTTTGAAAGATACTTTAAACATTAAGAGACTTGGGAGAGAAGTGGATTCAGGCAGGCAAAATAAGGCAGAGAAAAAGCACAGATGTAGCCAGCAGAAAGAGAAGTCTGAAAGTCATTCCATGCATGCCCATCTCCTCTTTGGCTGTAGGTGCTGTTTTGGATGCTGCTTTGTACCTTTCTTTGTGAAGATCTTCAAGGATGCAGACCACTACTGCCCATGCTGCCAATTTCATATTTACAGATACAAAAGACTATAGAAACAAAAGTTTATGCAACTAGATGATGTCAGGTCTCTGTTTCCTAATGGCGTAAGATTCTACATGTAAAACTACTGCTAAGAAACATATAGGAGTAGGCCTAGGTTCTGCAGCTCCCTTGCTGGTGAATCTATCTGGAGTTTACCATCACATGGCTGGACTGACTTTAAAACAAAAATCCTTGAAGACTAATTTACAATGTCACTTGAATTTATGCTCTATTTGAATCACTGCCCTGAGCTGTGAAGTGACCAGCTAGTGAGTACTTCAGTGCTACTCCTCCACCTCTCAAATCTCCAACCCAGCTGGGACACAGACTCTTCTGGACTCTTCAACCCACCAATAACCAAGAGGTTTGGACACGCACGTTTTAGGGGAAGCACTCACCTTCTATGCACTTGAACTGACTGGTCGGGATTTCATTTTTCTCTGCTCTTCTTTGTATGGGACCTACCCCTGCAGGGCTGTGGGTGGTACAGTATAGCTGATTATTTATTAATTAAACACTAAGTTATGAGACTGTCTTTACTGTGTTATATACGAAGTAAAGAAAATAAACCTGGTATTGTTAACAATACCGGCAAAACATCTCTTGTCTGCATTGCTTCTGTGACCCGTTGCATCCAGAGTGGAGATGCAGGTAAGACTGGGGCACCCTGTTTACATTAACAAACCACGAACATAAAGGCAAACACATAAAGAAAAACCAGCAAGCACAGTTCGAGAAAAAGTCATCAAAACCACAACACAAGGCTCTCATTTTTCCTGTCTTCCCACTACAGCGCATCGTCTCCCAAAGAAGGCTTTATTGGGCTTTACAATGTACAGAGAACTCTTACAGTTCTCACCCAAAGTCAATCTCTGTAATTTACTTGCCCAAAAGGTGCCTAGAGCCTGCTCAACGCTGGCAGCAGTGGCAGCTGCTGCTGTTTATTGCTGGCTGGAAAGATAAACAGAGGAATAAAAGAAAACCCTATATTTCAACCTTTTATCATCATAAATATTTTCATGTTGGTACCATAATTGTTGTGGGCAGGCGGGATGTGTGGCACGCAGTGCTCAGGCTGCTTCCCTACCATTGCATTTTATGATGACTGAGGTACGCTGCCCACGCGCGGCAGGGACGCCACAGCTAAAAAGAACTTTAAAACTTCCCACTTAACCTGACGTTAAGTTTGATCAAACTCTTTGTTTTAGCTATTTGGTGAATTTAAGCCATAAGAAGAGAGTGTCCCTGAAGAGCTATTTAGCGGCTCCAGAATCCTGGAGATCTCTCGAGGGCAGGATTTGCCGCAGGAGGCTCGCTCGCCGGCCCGCGCACCCCGCAGCCGCTGCCGCAGGGACGCCCAGGACCCTCCTCACTGCACCCGGCGGGAAGGGGCCGGCGGGGCGGACAGGCGCCGGCGGCTGCACAGCCAGGGCCGCCCGCCCCAGGAGCGGACGGGGGAGGAAACGTCCAACCGCAGCTGGCAGCGCCCAGCCCAGAGCTCCCCCGGAGCGACACCCCGCTCACCTGGACCCTTTTTCCTACAGTTCTGACACACACACGCACACAAAAATCACGACCAGGCGGAGCTTTCAGCAGCGGAAGAGCGCAACCCCACTCCCGGCCCGGGGCCGGCCCTCAGCGCGGCGCGTGCAGGCGCCTGAGGGAGCTGCAGCGCGCGCCGCCCTGCCCGCGCCCGCCCCCTGGCGGGGCACGGGGCGCGCTCGCGCTCCCGCCCCGCTCCCGCCGCCCCCCGGCCCAGCGACGCCCCAGGGCCCGGCCGCCTCGAACGGCCCGGAGCTCCCCTGCAGCACCGGTAGCGGCACGTTTTAAACTGGCCTTAGCTAAACTGGCGTACACGCGTGCGCGATCTTTTGCTTCAAGAAGTACAAGAAACTCCAGTCTTCAGACTACAAGACGTGAAGGAGTACACTTGGATCAATATAAATAAAAAAAAGTGTTAAGCAACTCTATCTTCCAGGCTGCCAAACCCCTGCCCAGAGCAGGCAGCTGGCCTCAGCCTGACAGACACCACAAGCTGAAGAGACACACACAGACCTGCTGAAGAACATGAGAACAGCAAAACCAAGAGAGACTGTTGAAGAAAACTTGCTGGAAACCAAGCAAAAACTGGTTTTAGAGCAAGCACAGTGTGATGCAGCGTTCCACGCACCTCCAGCAGCAAGGCCCAAATCGATCAGCGTCGCGCAGCCTGAAGCAGGTGCTGCGGGCAGAAGGCTCCCACCTAACAAACCCTTCCCCGGCCCTCCTCCGGGCCCAGGGGAGGCCACAGCAAGCCCCCAGAAACAAATGGTTATCTGTGTTGGAATTACTTTTATATTTTGTGCATTTAGAAACTCACAACCTCCAAGAGGAGTACAGGATTGGTAGTGCAGTTTCTGGAGCGAGGAATTTCTGTTACAGCGCTTTTGTGGTGCCTCCGCAGCCCCGCGTGAAGCGCAGAGCCCCCACCCCTGCCATGAGGGCAACCCCGAGAGCGGCTTCCACTCGGTACATGGGCCAGTGACTCTCCATCCTCTGGTGACCCAACCTATTTCCCTTTAGGTCGAAGTAATACCACAACGATTAAACCCACAAGCAGCCACTTAAGATGTCAGCCCAGCAGGCTTCATACCATTTCACATGTGTTTTACAATGTTGAGGTTTTTCTCCATTTTAAAATCTGGCTGTGAAACGGCAGGCTTTGCCATTTAGTAGTGGTAAATAACGCATTGAGCCAGTAATATTTAGGAAGAAAGGTGCAAAACACACACAGGAATACATACATAACAAAGAAATTATATATATGATTTAAGATGCGTAGCAGACATTTAACAGAAGTAGTTAGAACATTTTTACACTAATATTTGGAGGCACAATAGTTTACACAAGTATTTAATAAAAAATAAAAGGATTCCAGCTACAACCTGGGCCTCAGTAAATTTAATTTCCTGCTGTGCTTGGTACACAGCTAACTTCAACATCATCCAGGACAGAAATTAAGTTGAGCACAGCTCTGAAGCCAGATTCAGGCATAGCACACATGAACACATTCCCCTTTTTCTGACCCTAAAGACCAGTCTGGTTTTAAAAGCCAACACCAAATGACACCACACCACTTTCACCCCAAACACCGACACTCTGCCTTCCAAATGCTTGTTTAGTTCCTCTGAGAACAAACGAGTACAGAACCCTGAAGCATTTACCTTCTGACCAGCTCTCCCTAAACTACGAATGTCGTTCTTGACAATTTGGCTGAATTTTGCAAAATTTCTCTCTTTGATCTAACCAAAATCACCCGGACTTCCGAGCAGCCCCTTAGCTTTCGTTCCCACTCTTTTCTAAAATGAATGGACCAGGCACCAATCCAGTGTTTGTCCTAGTCTATTTTATTTACAATATATACAGTTCCTACAGAAAACGCTTTCTCACAAAGGATATTAAATAGCAAAAACACAGCGTAGCTTAGCTCTGGGCACGGATGCCTGCAGCCAGCCCGGAGCCCGCGGGACAGGCGGGTCGGAGCTCCGGCGGGGTGCGGGGCGGGGTGCTGGCGTGCCAGCTCTGGAGGGCAGGCGCTGAGGTAGATCCCGGGGGGGGGCACTGCACGCTCTGCACGTCCTGCGGCACGACATCGGCCCGATCCCTCCGACGCGTCTTGCGGCAGCACACGTTTGTCCTGGTGTCGCTAAGCAAGCCTTCTTGTATAAAGGGTGTTTTTGTTGGCTGTCACTCTCTAGTCGGCAACTGTGTCACTGGTGTGATTTGCTTAGATTTCACAGAACGCTTTGGACTCCTTTAGGATAAAAGGCACTATATGTAAATCTACAGGAACAACGCTCGCTATTTTCTCGTAGGGAGAATTCAGATGGGCCATTAACATCATGTTGCTCTGATGCTGTGTACCATGAAATTACATCCTTATTGCTTAACACTTGTATTATCATTAACTGAATTTAATGCATTCACTGTCTATTATGCAGATAATTCCAAAATCTGAGTAAGAAATGGAAAGCACGGTAATTTTGAAGACTATTCTTGTGAATTTTTTAGAAATAACTAAACAAACATATTGCACCCGAGAAAACCTCCTGTCTTCCTCTTCTCTTCATAGGTGTTTCCACATTTGAATAACAAGTTAATTTTTTTTAAGAATTTTTGTTTTGGAGCACTTCAGTTATTGAAAACTGCATACAGAATGCCTTTATGTATCGTCTTTTCAAAACTAGTGTGGGAATAGCACAAATATCGAAGCACATAAAAACTAGTCATCTAAAAATCAAAAGGCACCCGAAATTTACTTTGTTAGCAATATTTTCTTCTGAAATAGGAAGTATTGTGATTTTTTAAAGATATTTCCTTATAAATGAATGTGAAAACTTAGTGACATTCAGATACAAGTTCAATTTTATCAGTCTACCATAACATTAAATTCACAGAATTAGGGCTTACTGCTGCTGACAAGAGTCTCTGATTTTACAGAAATACTTTGAATACAAATCCTGACATTTACTGAAAGCCTGTAGAGACAATCCAAGTACTAGTAAAAACACCACTTGGATGGTGTTATAATTCTCACCAGTTTGATGCAAATACAGATCAAATGAAAACTCTATCCACTTTAGACATGCCATTTAAGCACTTCCCTCTACCTGTAACCTACACACTCAGATGACCAAAAAAAAAAAAAAGTAAACAGCTAGTTTGCTTTGTAAGTAAGAGACAGTTAAAAGCACTACAAGATATAAATTAAAAAGAAATCCAAACATACCTAAAACTCAAGCAATTAATTAATTTTAAAGCTAAAAGAATGAAATAGATCTTAAAATTTATTTTAAAAATACTTGCTGGTGTTTTCAGTAATCACCAGAATCCATCTCAGAAAACAGTATAAAGGCCATCACATGTACGCAACCCCTACTAAATGTTTATTGATAGGTCTGAGAAAGGGAAGCTTCTAAGCACTTTCTGTTTTGGTTATGAATACAGGGAACACATTACGGTGGGAATCTATTACTCTAAGAGAGCTTACCTTTAAGACTCCAGATTTCACTTTACACCATTTATAATATTAGACTTGAGAATCTGGACCACAAAATTTTGTACAGGCAGGCAGAGTCAAGTCTACCACAAAGACTCTACTACAAGCTTTACAAACAAACTAATAAATATTTTTCCATTTGTCTTATTTGTACATGGCTCCTTCCTCGAAAACCCTTTATTTGTTAAGCTCAAATGTGACTAGTTAGGAGGTAAAAAAAACACACCCCAAAAAAACCTCCAAAACCCAAAACAATTAAACAGAAAACCCCACAAATTTTCCCCCAAACAACCCATATGAGGGTCATACAATTCTCAACACTTCAGAATAAAACCACACACCTTTAGAAAAACCTCACAAATGAAAACATTTCCCCGAACTCTAGTTCCAAGGAGAGAAGAAATCTTCTTCAATGTCTATGTCATCACTCACCGAAAAAAATTTTATAGAAAATTTTATTCAACATACAACATTTTCCAGCAAAAAAAGGCAATATACAGGAAGAGTTGTTGTACACTGCGGCTACAGAAACAAAATAAAATACTGGAAAATAATGTAAAA